ATATATATATATATATATACAGGATTTCAAAGTATCCCCAATATTCCTGTGAAGGACCCATTTGAGGAACAACCAAATATCGATATTCTGAAACCCCACCTGGAATTAGGAATACTTCCAAGGCTCTTACCAAAATTCAGCACACTTTGAGCATTCATTCTAACTTACCCGGTAGTTTTCTCCAAACCAATGTGCTGTAGCTGTATTGAATTGTAGCCTCATAAATTCCCAGAAAAGCACCACCACTAAAACTGCAGTTCAACACCCCCTTAGAGCAATGTTCCTCAACCTTAGAAGCTGGAAGATGTGTGAACTTCAACTCCCAGAATTCTCCAGTCAGCAAGCTGCATGGGAAATTCTGGGAATTGAAGTCCACACATCTTCCATCAGCCAAGGTTGAAGGCAACTGCCGTAGAACATTCCAAGCACACCTTTAGACATTGCCAAGTTATATTCAACTGAAAGCAAACTTTCTGGGGCAGAAATCAGTCAAAAGGGTCCTACACGCTTCAGAAACAAAAATAAAGGAAATTCCCCAAGACACAGTTATCTCTATCCTCCCTTCCAACGGGAGCAACCTGTTAAAACAAGGGGATCGGGTAAGCAAAGAGAGGGTTCTCTCGGTTGTGGATCTTCTCGTGTCTCTTGTGGTGGGAGCTGTGGCTGAAACATTTGCCACAGAACCGGCAAGCGTAAGGTTTCTCCCCGGTGTGGATCCGATGGTGCTGGACCAGGGTCGATTTGTCAGTGAAGCAATTCCCACACTCGGAACACACGTACGGCTTTTCGCCGGTGTGGATCCTCTGGTGCCGAAAGAGGTTAGAACTGACGTTGAAGCTCTTCTCGCAGATGTTACACTTGTAGGGTTTCTCCCCCGTGTGGATGCGCATGTGCTTGATCAGGTCAGCGTTGTGGCCGAAACTCCGCAGGCACTCCGTACACGTGTTCATCACTTCCGCTTTCTGCTTCGCTTTGGGCTTCTCGTCCGCGGCACTGGCGTTGGCTCTGTCCGCCGGGGCGCAGACTTCTCGCGGCTCTTCCGCCGGGTCCTTCAAATGCTTCTTCTTGTGAGAGCTGCGGCTGTAGCTTTTGCCACAATCAATGCACTCGTAGGGCTTCTCGCCCGTGTGGATCCGCTGGTGCTGAGTCAGGTTGGACTTATCGTTGAACCGCTTGCCGCAGTCGAGACAGATGTACGGCTTTTCTCCGGTGTGGATCCTCTGGTGTCTGTTGAGGCTGGAACGGACGGAAAAGCTTTTCCCGCATTCAGAACACTTGTGCGGCTTCTCGTCGCTCTGGACGGGCCACGGGCTGATCAGGCTGGAGTTCTGGATGAAGACCTTCCCACATTCGATGCAGATATCCGGTATCTCTTCTGTCTGGGTACCCCGGTGCACCAAGAAGGCTTTGCGTTTCTTGATAGTATGCACTGTTTTCACAGGCCATGTCATGGATGGTATTTTCTTCTCCCTTGTTTCAGACCCGCGGGCTTGGCTGTGTCCAGGGCTTAGGCTTAGCATCTTAAGCAATTTTCTTTTGGTTACCAGCTGAGACCGAGCCTCGTCAGGGCTGAAGTTCTCCTCCATATGGCTCATCCTGTGACCTCCTCTCACCTGGGAGGGGGGGGGAGAGTCAATATGTTGTACAGTTTAGGTTGGAAAATTCACACAACAGGAAAAACATCTATACTTTAAGCCTGCCCAAGCACCCACAGCATCTGGAAAACCTACATTCCTGGAAAATTTCCCATGTGACCTACCGTGTTTCCTCGAAAATAAGACCAGGTCTTATATTATTATTATTTTTGCTCCAAAAGATGCATTAGAGCTTATTTTCTGATTAGGTCTTATTTTGTAGGAAGTAGGGCTTATATTACAAGCATCCTGAAAAATCATGCTAGATTTTATTTTTCCAATTGGTCTTATTTTCAGCGAAACAGGGTGCTCTCTTCTGACTTTTAATCATTTTTCCACCAATTCACCTATTTTTCTAATCTATCTGCAGACTTGCAACACAAACAACTTCTTAGAAAAGTACACATTGAACGACCAGTGGAGTAAAATTTTCAGGACTCCTATCAATTCCAGGCAGGAAAATCTATGCTACAAGCAGGGCCGGATTTTCCTATAGGCTAACTAGGCTTCAGCCTAGGGCCTCAAGATCAAGAGGGGCCTACATTCAAATTG